ACATCTCTGATCTGCTGCTACCTTATGAACCATCCCGACCCCTTAGGTCGTCTGGGACCGGTCTACTTTCTGTTCCCAGAGCCAGAACTAAACATGGAGAAGCAGCGTTCAGTTGTTCTGCTCCACATATCTGGAACAAAGTCCCAGAAAGCTGCAGGTCTGCTGAGACCCTCAGCTCCTTTAAATCAGGACTGAAGACTTTTCTGTTGGCTGCCTTTAATTCAACCACATTCAAGGATATTAATCAATTTATGCATTTCACTTTACTACTGTATTTTATTTCTTACACTGCTTTTTATTGTTTCAATGACTGTTCTTAATCGGTTTTAAATCTCCTTTTCTTTTGCCTTATGTTTTAATGGTTTTATGTGAAGCACTTTGAATTACCTTGTTATTGAAATGTGCTATACAAATAAACTTGCCTTGCCTTTGCTCTCCTCCGTGTGGGGGGGGAAGATGATGGAGACCTATGTTTGATATTCGTGTCTTTGCGTCACCTTGTATGTAATCGCTCCATGCGGAACGCTGGCTTTGCCTTTGGTGTCCCCTCCCTGTTTGATTGATTTACTGTTAGTGTTGGAGAATATGCAATACTTGAGAGGAATCCTGACCAGGGTGGACGGTCAGGTCTAACGTCTTTTAGCTGAAAAGTCATGAAGACTAAATTTGGACCAAGTTCAGTGATCCATTATGAAACCTGACAAATTGAGTATCAGAATGAAACTTTACTTTTTTATTGTGATCGCCTTTTGTTGCTCACCACCTCTTCTTTTTCCTGCTCCTGTCTCTTCATATAGAGGAAGCATGCACTGCGCTGTTACTGCCAAGCCATGCAGGTGTACAAGGAGCGGGGCTGGTCTTTGGCAGAGGACCACATCAACTTCACAATCGGTCGTCAGTCCTTCACGCTCAGCCAACCAGAGAGCGCTGTGACAGCCTTCAGACAGATCCTGACCAATGACAGCAGGCAGACAGCCACACAGCAGGGCGCCTTCCTCAGAGAATACCTCTATGTGTATAAGGTAACTACAGTTTGTAAACACATCTGCACGCTGACGATGCTGACTTGACAGGAGAGAGACTACTTTGTGTCAATAGGTAAGCACACATATGAGTGAATAACAATGATGTGGAGTTCCACAAGGCTCTGTTCTCAGAACTCTTTTTCTTAACATCTGCATACGTTCTCCAGCTCAGATTAAGAAAGACAGCAGAAAATCTTCCCATTCTAATTATGTGGACCAGACCAAGATTTACATAAAAATGTCATCACATAAACAACTCAGGGATTGGATGCACCAAACAACAATTAAAAGCTTTTTTAATCTCCTCCCATTATTACACAAATAACGTGTGTGTGTTGTATTTCAGAGTGTGGTAGGGGGAAGTGAAGACAGCCTCCCCCAGCTGCCTCTGCCCTGCATCCACAGCTCGGCCACAAGGGTCTACTTTGGACACGAACGGCGCCTTGCTGAAGGTAACATGAAGATGAGTGGTGATCTTTTCCCAGCATGACTGACTCTAGAGAAAAGAATGGCCACAGACACATCACTAAGAGTCCTAGCTGTAAGAGTTAATCTTCAGACCTGCACCTCTTAACGTTCATCTGATGTTCTAATGTTAAAAGATGGTGATGATGATGATGTGGAAGTGTATCAGTGGATTTACTGTGGGAAGCAAGAGCGCTCACCACGGTCATTCATGAAAGCGTCTTAAAGTCCTTCAGTGAAGCAGGCTCTCTCGCTCTCTCTCGCTCGCTCACAGAGATCTCTCCTCGCTTCCTGTCTTTGCCACCTTGAGTTCATGTATGATAACAACTCTTCCCTTTATGCACCATTCAAGAACAAATAAAAAAAGACCAAAGAAGATACAGGGAATGAACAAATGTAAAAAACAATATTCTGAGTTCTGTAGATTCTAAAATCACATGAGTGGAATTAAGTCAGTCTTCTTTTGGAAACGAAACACATTTAACACACGAACAAACAAAAAAACGATTTAATCCATCACTGCACAAGTGCATGCATTTCAAGTGTTCATCATTTGTTAATCTGCAGATTCTAGAACGCACAATAGTAGATGATGAGCACATTTACAGTTCAAAGAGAACTCCATGTTCACAATATCAGGTATTAGTTATATACTCTATATATGAAGTGTGAGGCTTGTTACCTCTGTAGTAAACATATTCTTATGCGTATTTTGAAGTATACTAGTAGAAAAGCAATATCGAAAAAGCAACATTTGATAAAACAGTTTTCACGATTGCTTGAAGTAGTTTCCTTTGTCGAAAAAGAGTTGATGCACTAAATGTGTCATAGAAACGCCTTTGCATGACTGATCACTTGTTTCTGCTGTCGACTTCTTCATGGATGTTTCTAAATCGTGTGAATGTTTGTCTTCGTCTCCGGACAACATGAAACATGACCAACACCAGCTGACATGAGAGAACTATTACAACTCGAGCAGTTAAACTCATCTCTGAAGACCTCTCTCTCCATTTCTCTCTCGTAGACGGTCAGGGGACCAAAGAGGCGTGTTTTGTTTCTGGTTCACAGCCTCTACTTCTTCTGCTCTGTTCACTGGTGGATTACAGCCATGCATAACAAAATGTACCATGCAATACTAGTGATGTCTGACCAAGATCACCCTATTTATGAACAGAATTAAATGAACTGCTGAGGTGCCTTTGAACGAAGGGTTACTGTCACTCATGGAAATGTATTGTATTCAACAACTAATCTTCAATTTTGTGTTTATAACTACCTCATGTGTGCAGGCGAAAAGCAGGCAGCCACTCACGTGTCTCTGGACCAGGAGTATGACCAGGACCTGGCAACCATGTGGTGCCACCTGGAGGAACAGCTTGTGGCTACAGCCAACAGGGGGGTTGTCCCAACAACGTTCCAGCCCACCCAGTGCTGCTTAAACAGCCACACAGACAACCTGCGCTACCCACTGGCTGTGGCCGAGGGTAAGAGCTCCTCGGCTACCGAGGCTATTACTCAGTACTAGGTGTTCGAACATACGGACGCTTGCCAATCAATCAGGAGTCACTTTCTTCTTTTCCATAGCATAAAGAATCATAGCATCACCTGCTCGGTATACAGCCCTCTTCCTGTCTCCACAGAGCCAATCATAGTGGAGGTGACGCTCAGCAACCCACTGAAGGTTCCTCTGGCTCTGTCCAACCTCTCCCTCCTCTGGAGGTTCACTGTCGAGGGTGCCACTCCATCCGAGGAGAAGACGTCTGAAGAGTCGGCAGGAGAGGCCATCACCAATGAGGAGAGCCTGATTGATGGGGTGAGCAGCCCGGCCACAAATCGATGGATGCTATAAAAACCCAGAACTAAGATTTCCACAGTGTCTTCAATATCTGTTTCCTCTTGCAGATGACACAGAAAGACGATGTTGTCACTACAGAGATCATCCTGGAGTTTCTTATAGGTCCAGAGGAGACCAAAATGGTAGGTGCTCTGATAGATCTACAGGCAGACTGCAGAGATAGTGGTGGAATGAAGAGTGGAGATAAAGAACGCTTCAGCCTGATGAGGTATCACAGCTCCAGCAACAGGCTGGAAACATCTCATCAGTTGCACCTTCATGTCAAATTAGCTGATATGCTGTTCAGTCAAACATGATCATGTCTGACTGAGAATGAGAGCTGAGAACTTTTGGAGCAGGTCAACAATCAGTCCATTGGCTCAAGTACATTTGCTCCTTAGACGGTGTGTGCACTGTCTGTCTGAAACTGGCAATGACCATTGTTTGCTCCGGGTTTAGGATGGGCCCTTTCAGTTTTCTGACCTTGGAATTATTTTGAAGATGGGAACGTATCCCTAAATGTGACGGTCTCTCCTTCCACTCTGCTTTCACAGCAATACTTTCCCTGTCTGAACACATCAGCTCTCTCCAGGGAAATCAGGTTTCTGAAATGTCTATCCCTGAACCAGGTTTCTTTATACAAGACATTTAGGAATCTGGTTTCTGCTAAATTGTAAAACTGGTACATGTGCATGCACTGATTTTGTGCTAAGGCTACCAGGCCTTTTAAATGGATTTCGCCATAAAAATGCATGAAGACCACTTAAATGTTTGTGAATAATTCTTTAAATCTCCAGTAAATAATGATGTGGACTGTCCCTTCTCTGGCTCATGTGATACTTCACTCTGATCACACGTGTAGTTGTGTTGCTGTCAGTCACTGTGACCTTTGACCTCAGGCCCGACTCCGGCTGCTGCCACACAGAACTGGCCAGCTGAACATTGTGGGTGTGGTGTACAACTTGGCTGCAGCTTCCTCTGGAGAGACGGCTCCCAGCTCTGAAGGTACACTCATCAGCTGGGACTGGTTTGAATTGCTACTGGCTGCTTTCGTACCACTTCACACTCATTTTGCTGCCAGTCATTGTATTGCATTGAATTTTTTGTTGTTTTCAAGTCTGTCTTTTGTTTCATGTCAACAATGTTTCTGAGAAAACTCCCAGTGTGGCTCTGCTCCTGTCTACAGGCCAGCAGGCGTTGGATGTCATGGTGGTTCGGGGTAGACAGGACCTAAAGATCCAGGGCCCACGGCTGAACCAGACCAAAGAGGACAAGATGTTGGTTCGCCATGGTCTGGATCGGCGGCTGGATCCCATCATAACTCCACCCATGCCCCTAATGGAGGTACCACTGACACACTCGTCCCATCCTGCAGTGCTGACAGTCTGGCAAATCTAAAGATCAGTTTCATTGCCCCTGAAGCAGGGCTTCTATAACGGACTAAAATAAAACTATTGTTGTAAACTGAAAGTAAATAACATGAACACTGTGATCTCTTCACATTCTGTTGATAATGTTGAGTTTAGTTTTAGTTAATTTCAACTGGCCACATCTTACACATTGCAGCTTTAAAGCCTGCAGTGATTAACAAACCACTAACCTCAGAGACCTGCTGGTGGTGTACGGCTGCGGTAGATGTCTAATGTAGGTGGGTACCTTTTGAAATGGATCACAGGACTCTTGAGTTGGATCTTAATTTGAAGGGAAAACTGCATCATCACCACGACTTACCAAATTAATGAGCAACATTAACTTATTCCTACTTTTTCACATTTTCGTCCCCTACAATCCTCTGGACGGCTCACAAGTTCTTCTGTGATGCCACCGAAAACCAAACGTGTGTGTGTGTCTCAGGTCTTCTTCCTGCAGTTCCCCACTGCTCTGTTGTGTGGAGAGATCAGGAAGGCCTACGTTGAGTTCTGTAACGTCAGCGGTGTCGCTCTGTGCGGCCTTCGGGTGGCGTCCACACACCCAGATTTCTTCACGTTTGGCAGCCAGACCACGACCCCCCTCACGCCCGTCAGCCCGACCTCAGCGGAGAACTGCTCGGCCTATAAGACCACGGCCACGACCCGCCAGCCGGGCTCAGTGGCGTCTGAGATATTGGTAGCAGCGGAGGATTTCAGCCAGCCTTCCAGTGTGATGGAGATCCCGATAGATGGCAGCACACTGCAACCGGGGGAGTCCACCCAGCTGCCTCTCTGGCTCAGAGGACCAGACCAGGAGGGAGTACATGAGATCAATTTCCTGTTCTACTACGAAAGCACAGAGAAAGGAATCAAAATCAGGTAAAATTGAAATAAAGTGAAGGGAGTTGAATTGGCTAGCCATAAACATAAGCAGCCTGTATCACCTCCCGGTCTAAAAAGTGAAGCCATTATCTCTACTGGCCACCAGGGGACGACTCCTCTGGTTGTATAGAAGTCTATGAGAAAATGACTCTACTTCTCTCTTGATTTATTACCTCAGTGATAAATCATGATGTTCATTTAGTAAGTTATGGTCCATTTAGAGTCAAACAGACCATAAAGCAGGGGATGCTTTAGGGGCGGGGCTACTGTGATTGACAGGTCTCTACTAGAGACGTATACGGCGTCTATACGTCACTCCTCCGGATTCCAAATATGGTCACTTCTGTTCATTGGTTGCCATAAAATCCAACATGGCAACGGCCGTAATCCAAGATGGCAACGGCGAAATCGCCAAACTCGAGGCTTCATGACATCAGTCCACAAACCAATGGGTGACGTCATGACGACTAGTCCACTTCTTATATACGGTCTAAGATTTTCTACCAGAGGAGTCGCCCCCTGCTGGCCGATAGAAAGAATACCGGTTTGAGACTCTTCTGCACTGGCTTCACTTTTCAGACCTGAGGGTTGCATCCTGGGATTCACACACTGTTCACTGGCACGCGAGTGAAAAGCTGCACTGTTGAGGCAGGCTGTCATGAAGTAGAGCAGCACTGCAACACGAGCAGGCTGAGGATGACAACACGCAGTAGAGTTCAGTAAAGAAGATACTTTATTTTAGTCAATACCAATCCATTAAAATACAAAGGCATCGGCTCAGGACTGCTATCGTAACAAACTCTCTGGAACTACTCCTAGAAGGACTCCCTTTGGGAGCACGATGATGGAACACTTCTATTAGCACATAGACTTGTTAACAAATAAAGAAGTAACAGTATGTGACCAGGGCAAAATAATCAAGCGGAAGAAAAGGCTGTTTGCTTCTGACTTTTTAAGCCCAATCATGTCTGACAGCTGGACACATAATGTATTTAGCAAATAAGAAGAATGGACTTATACTCTAACAGTTCTATTCTAAATGAATTGGTGATAACAATGTCTGTTCATCAACGCTGCACTAACTCCTCATTTGTAGACAGCCCATCATCTCTCTCTCTCCTCTCTCTGCATGGGAAGTCATCGGGTGTTGCGTCACACGGTGTTCATCTGTGCCAGTCGCTCTCTGAGCGTGCAGGCGTCGGCCTGCCGCAGCAGTGTCCCCCCGCATCGCAGTCTGGACGACAAAGGCAGCGGTGGAACGCTGGTCTTCGTCGATGTGGAGAACATCAATACGGTGAGATACCCAGCATGCCCCACGCCTCCGGTACACACTTACAGTCTGCAGCTCATTGAACAGCCTATCACTGTTCAAACGTGGTTTTAATCTTCCTCCTGTGGGCTTCCAGAGTGAAGCTGGAGTGCGTGAGTTCCACATCATCCAGGTGTCCAGCAGCAGTCGACACTGGCGCCTCCACAAGTGTATCAACCCGGCCAATGATAAAGGTGTGTGTGAAGCGTCTCTGTTCCTGTCCTTTTATTCTTTATGGTGTACAGCTGTATGTGTAGCAGCGTGAGGGGTGAACACAGCTGTGGTTATTTTAATACCACCTAAATGCTTCATCCGTGAACTGCCCTTGAGCATGGCACTTTGGCCCAAAATGCTACAGTCGAGTGTTCAGTGGCAGTGATAACAGAACATGTCACAGCTTCTCTCTGTCTGCCCTCCCTCCCCTCCAGACTGTAAACTCACCAGCAGAGAAAGAGCCAAGCTGTGTTTCAGAGCCACGCGATGCAAGCCCCACCAGGGTACCTTTAGAAGAAGTGTGTGTGTATATATATATATATATATATATATTAAAAAAAATATCAAAAAAAATATCAAACTTTGATTAGATGTGGGGTTTCGAATAAGCACTGATTTGTCTGTGTTTTGCCTCTAGCTACCTCGGGTGCTGTAGAGAAATACACCTTTGCAGACCTGAATCTGGGAAATGAACGGGTAAGTAAAAGCTAAATGTCGTTGTCTCACTAAATGTATGATCACATTTTGTCATAGGCCTGATAACTACTTATGTCTGTCCATATAGTGTCCCGAAAATAATTGCAATAAACAATATTGTCATTTTAAGACCTTTTTATGCCATTGATAGAGTGATGATATAATATCATAATAATGCAAGTACACCATTTCAAAGAGCAATGAACTTTTGATTCTTAATGTGAAAAAAAAAAATCAATGTTCGAAATGAATGAAACATAGATGCAATATAACTCTAGAGCCAAAGCAATAAATATAATCTATTGTCACGCTGTTAACAAAAATGTGCAATGTCTTTTATGGAACATGAAAACGATGGAGGTCAGGTCCACGTATCGTATCAGGATCGGCAAAGTTAGTGAAGGATACCTGTGTGACTATGTCCGGGTTTCAAAATAATGTGTTAACAAAGGATATATACATACAACTATATACAATTATAAATAATGAATTATATTCACAAAAAGTATCAAATGTAAAAATGCCACTAAATTATGAAGTGTAATTATCTTTATTCTTTGTTTTTTGGGTTGATGAGGAAAGAACTAATTCCTGATATCAGCTGATACATTTGAGTTGAGAACATCTGTGACTACATACAGTCACAACATCAAGCATTGTTACTGTCTTTGGTATAGAGTCTCTTATATCTATAGAATCTTTTTGCAGATCATCAGCTCCTCCACACCCTGTGGAGATTTCTTCTTCCGTGGCTGTCGGACCGCAGAGTCTCAGCGAGTGGACGGAACATCGTCCAGGACATCATCCAGCAGCAAGAGTCAGAGCTCTGTCCCCACTGAGGACATCAGCAGCATCGTCAAGAAGTGTAATGAGCTGGACCTCAACTTAATCGTCATCTGGAAGGTACACTCGGCAGAGACAGCCTGATGATGTGGGACTCACCTTCTCATACATAGTGGTAGTAGGATATTGTGGTATGGACCATGCACAGGACAGTTGTGAGATCTTATCAAAAATATGATTCAGAATTCATTTGTTCACAATGTTGTAACAAATTCTGTTCAGAATCTTGTGTTGATATTCAAACAGGATTCATATCAAAGCCTTGAAACATATTTATCATTCTGCTCATATTTGGGTGAACCGAGCAGAGGTCATTTACAGATGTAGCCAGTTTCTCTGTGAGGAATCCTCAGGTTTTCATATTTAGTTCTCAGCTTAAACTGTACCAACGCTGAGTGTATGCGAGTTTCCAGTGTGTTGTGTGTGTCTGTAGGCCTATGTGGTGGAGGACAACAAACAGCTGATCCTAGAGGGCCAGCTCCATGTGGCGCTGCAGACCATCGGCAAAGAGGCCAGTTCTCTGACTCCAAAAGAGGTACAGTAAGCACGCGCCCACACACACAGAACCAACCTCACCCTCTCTGTAACCCAGTGGGCATGAGTTAATGGTGAGATGACACAGTTTAGTTATCTAACTCCAAAACATGGTCCAAGTTCTAAATAACATGTACATGTAGTGGTAGCTATGTTTGAAGTACCATATGAGAACCATACCAGTCACTCAATTTTCCACAACCCAATCCTGAAAATGTTTCACAATAAAAGCTTTGTTAGGAAATGAAGGATTCTGTCCAGTGGCATGCTACGGGGCTGTTAATCTGAAACGGATGCAGGAAGTGTTGAGCTTGTATTAACCTCAAAATGCTGTAGCAAAGGATTTGACAGGTCAAACATGAGCAGATCATAAATTAGGAGGAGGCTTCATACTGAAATATGACCAAATCTTATTATTAAATGCAGGCCTGTCTCCAATATAATCCTGCTTCAAAAAAACCTCAGGGAGAGTTTATTTGTGTCGACTCAGTTGATAGAAACGCATCTAATTTGCAATATATTTGTTGCCACATTTCCACCATTGACTTAAAGGTCCCTTAATTGTGGAATCTAACAATTATACAAAATGATCAGATTTAGACTCATGATGTGATGCTTTATAAGAGTGTGGTTTTATTTTGAAAGCTGATTGGATGAGGCTTTTTGTTGCAGGAAGCTCAGGAGATGGTGCTGCTCAAGTTTAAATCTGAAGTTCCTACTCCAGTGGCCCTGCCGTCTGCAGAGCTGTCCCAGCTCATCAAAACCAACCTGCACTACCCTGAGACCTACACACACCCGTTTGTCCTGGAGAGGTGAGACCCACACAGTAAAGGTGAACGATTGTGAATGAAGATTTAACGTCTTACCCTAAATACGTTGTAAACGCCTACTTTGTTAAAAATGTTACCAGCCCCTGTACAGTACATACTTCTGAATTGCATGGCTGTAACTTAGCAACAATCCGTCAGCGTGTGTTGGAGGTAGTGAAGAAGCTCAATAAGCTCCATGAGGTTCTGCTGAGTGAAGCTGCTTCTGTCTCTAGTCTCTGTGTGGTGCCAGTCACGCTGACGCTGTCCAACTGCTCCTCGGCTCTAGTGGATGTCCTCATTGACTTAAGGAGCAAAAGCATCAGGTGCGTGTGCGTGTGCGTGTGCGTGTGCGTGTGTGTGTGTGTGTGTGTGCACAGTACATTCATGAAGTGACACAGTTAACTATGACTTATCTAGAGAGATGTGGGGAAAAGAATACTGACATATGCATAGGTCCAATCCCCATAATGCAACTTGATTACATCTTCATGAGACAGTTAACACCCACATCATCGTTTAAATGCTGATCACTACAGCCACGTCTCCAACACGAGGACTACTTCTGGGGAACATATCGGTTCCTTCAGCCCGTTGTCTGCGGTTCTATAGCGATCTAGAGCCCTATGGACTGCTGGTGGTCACAGCTGCAGCTCAGTGTGCTCCTTTCATCCTTTTCTTTCATCTAAACACATGTTGGGGGGGAAAAAATAATAAACCATCTGCAACGACATTTCCTCTGCCGAGAGCAAAGCCTCACTTTTACTTCTAATGTTGACAAAGATAAATGGTTTAAGACGGTTGATTCTGTGACATTCAGTCATATCACATTTCATAGACTCATGTATTTAATAAACGGTACATGAGGAAGGCATGTTGCTGTCTGACAGTGGAAAGATGTTGTCAACAGGACTTGATGGCCAGTTAACTATGACTTTAACTTTCAGCAGTCTAGTCTAACGTGAGTATATTTTCTAAGCTCTCCCTCCGTCCATTCCTCTTTCAGCCCAGAGTCTCTGGAGGTCCACAGCTCGTTCACCTGGGTGGGTCAGACCCAGTACAAGCTGCAGCTGAAGCCTCAGGAGGTGCTGTGTCTGACCCTGAGAGCCTGTTTCCTCCAGGCCGGTGTCTACAACCTCAACACGCCGCGTGTGTTCGCCAAGCCGGCCGAGCAGGGCGCCATATGTGAGACGAGTCAGCAGGCGGCCAGTCCCGCTCTCATCATCATCAGCAGCGCCTGAGTGGAGCATCAGGGAGACCTGGACTCTGAGTCCTCCACACACATGACCATACTTGATCTTCTTGATTGATACTGGACAGCAGGAAACATAGATGTTTGTACCAATTCATGAAATAGAAAACAATGTTTATAGAGATTGATGAGTTTATGGACCTCGGAACTATTTTAGTTTCATCATCAACACGTCAAAGAGTCTCACTTGCATGTTACGTTCTTTGTGCGAGGCCCTCTGATCCACACACAGGTTAACCCTCCTACCATCCAGCCCTCCATAGTTCCACGGTCTCCGCCTGCCATTTCACACACACACACACACACACACCTCCTACCAGCATCTCAAACGCCCCCTTGTGTTTGGAAGCTATCAAAAGGTGTGTGTGTGTGTGTGTGTGTGTGTGTGTGTGTGTGTGTGTGTGTGCGCACACACAACCTGCAAATATACCGAACTCTGGAGGAATCTCGTGTAAAACTCCTGAATGGACAGAGCTGAAGTTTTAAATTCTTTTAACAAGAGCTGATTACATCCTGAATATTGTACCCGTCACCACGCAGCCCTCTTAGCTTCTCCTGAAGACAGACCCCCGTCTCTGTGTGATTTCACCCCGTCAATACAACAGGCCACCATGCCCCCCCCCCCAACCTGTGTGTTTGACCTATTGTGATGGAGCTCTTGAATGCATTGACTTGATGGCTTTTCTGAAAATGATGTATTATATTTATATAACAAATCGGTTGTAAATAGAAAATAAAAATGTAACTAATGATACTGTATGTACTGTGAGAGTCTTGATATCTGAGCAGGGAATTGTGGCATTTTTAGATGTACAGATTTTTATGTTCGGACAGCTCCAGGGCTTAAGTACAAGTCACACCCAGGACAACCACCAGGTCATGTCCTCTTTATTTCTGAGAATCTACATCACAGAACAAAATACTGACACATTATTGATATTTTACTCCCTGATGTAAATATTTATCGATTTGGCATATTTAAATGTTCAGAAAAAGTTTTAGGCCAATAAGATAAGTATTCCTCCTGCACAATGTTCACCGGGCGGTGTAGAGAAGATTTTGGACGTTCTAACTTTGATGTCATTTTTTGATGCACGCACCTTGCGGCCGTTTCACTACGGTAAGCACAAACCTAGCTTTAAGCTCGGTTTATACTCGACCTTACAAACACGGCCATTTTGTTTTATATTTTTAGAAATGGGAGTTCTTCTAAATCTACTTTTGAGTAAGTACTACAGAACTTTGATGTCCAACACCCAAAGTGAAGAAGTCAAACATGCAGAGAAACAATAAGTTGACTGAGGTTGTGGGTTCAAACCTTATCTGGTACTGTGAATTTTGAGGTCTAACACACAGAATGAAGAAGTCAAATACACAGAGAATGCTTGTAAGTACATGGGGCTGCCAAGAACCGAGCACCAGCAGGGAGTATGGAACAGAAGACCACTCATTTATTCTATTTAGGAATTGTAAATGCGCCGACATGACCCTGAACCCTCATGACCCCTCTGCGTACATTCATGCAGAAGAACAAGACAACATACTGTAGGTCAGAGGATGAGTGAAGATCCTCGGTTTTGTTCTGGAAAATGTGCACTCAGCTGGGAAGAAAAGAGAAAGATGAAGCCATTTGCACCACACCACACATCTGTGCCTACTACTACACCATGAAATATAACCGCTACACCATGAAATATAACCACTACACCGTGAAATATAACCACTACAACATGAAATATAACCACTACAATGTGAAATATAACCACCTCAATGTGAAATATAACCACCACAATGTGAAATATAACCACTACAACATGAAATATAACCACTACACCATGAAATATAACTACTACACCGTGAAATATAACTAATACACCGTGAAATATAATCACTACACCGTGAAATATAACCACTACACCATGAAATATAACCAATACACCATGAAATATAACTACTACACCATGAAATATAACCACTACAACATGAAATATAACCACTACACCAATATAACC